ATTCCCCAGCCAGCCTGCTGGCTGGGGTATTCTGGGAGTTGAAGTTCACCCATCTTCAAGTGGCCAAGGTTGAGAAACACTGGAATAGAGAGCTGTATAATTATATTTATCTATCTCCCAGGGTGTGGAGGACATGAGGCAGGCTTTGTTTTGATTTGGGGGGTTTTTTGCAGGGAGGGTATTAGGGAGGTGCTTTCAGTAAAATATTAAGCCAGCTGGAGGCTCAGCACAGTCATACGGCTGCTGTTTTCTGCCACCTGCCTGAATAGCGAGAGAACCTCACCTGCGCAAGGCTGGCTTGCAAGGTTCACTTTCTGCCATTGGTATCCCGCTTTCATAAGAGGAGTCCAATGGAGCTTTGAGGTTGTCTTTCATTTAATGCATTCAAGAGCTGACATGCTTCCTCTCCCTTGTGGGTTGAATGCCATTTTCAGAGGCCTTGAGCTGTTCAAAACAGCTCTTGGAAAACAGCTGCCCTTATGGTGGTTAAACCGCATCATGGTTTTCTGTTGGGCCAATTGCCCTTGGTACTGGGCGTGGTGCGACTGCTCCTAATGTTTCTCCCGTGCCTCTCTTTCGTTGCCACCTAAATGACCATAGCTAAAAGCGTCGTAACGGATCCGGGGGTTCAAGACATGCTGCAGGCACAGCTCTGAGTCTTGTAGTACAACGATACAACACAACACGAATCTACAGAAGTTAGCATTACAAGCCATCAGAGACCGCGGAATTATAATTCAGAGTAGTAGCAATTGGCCCCAGCATTCCCTAGACATCTATGTCTAAAAACAGCAACCAAAAAATTGCATTTTATTAGTAATGTATCATGGTGAGAGCGTGGTGTGACCCTGCAAGCCTGCATACTTTGAAAAAAAAACCTAAGGGCCACACGTGGGCATACTATGGCTCTTTGTACATGATCATAACAGCCTAAAAAGCTGCACTGGATGGGATCAAGAAGCTGTTTTTAAAAGCAGATGAATAATGCCTTAAGGGAAGTTTGTTACCGGAGCATTTCCAGTGTAGCATCCACAGCTAGCCGGTAGAGAGCACCAACTACAAACAAGAATTCTGCACCAGGCATTTTGGAGAGCCCATGGCTGAAATAGTTGAGCAGATTCCTCCGTTTTTGGATCCTGGTTGAAGAATGCAGGAGACAGGACTTGCCCTTAAATACATGCTCAGCATATTAGCATGTCTTTTGGAATGAGCTGTTAGGGTGTCCTGTTGTCTGCAAGGTCTGGGAGTCAATGTATGTAATCTGATTGATGAACACAGGGGTCTTCTGTTCCATTAACCTCGTTCATCTAGTCCAGGCCACCACAGAGCAGTTTGTAATCCTGAATTTTAGGATGCACCTGGAAGATACTAGGGTCTAGTCCACCTTGTCTAGATACAGACCTTTTTAATGACATGACAGTGATCAACTTGAATAAACTTGGCTTTGCAACAGTCCTGGAAATGGTCCCCTGATGACACCGTGGAAGGAGAATTCCCACTGTGACTGGCAGTTCTAGGACAGCAAACTCAGTGGCTCTGACTCAACAAAAACTAACTTGTATTATCATATGTCAAGGACTTCCAAGATACTAAGAAAGAGCCTTACGAGGTTGCAAGTCACCTTAAAGTCATCTACTCATCCTTTTCGGAGCCCATCCCAAGCCTCCTGTCACACAGATTTTATGGCTTCCCTGTCCAGCTTGCTCCATTTTTCTGAAAGGAGTACAGATGGTGAGGCAGCTGTGCAGGCATCTCGGGTGAATCCGGGGCTCCACTGAAGTTGAATCATGGGTCTCTTACATCCGTTCAGTTCTTCGTTTCCCAGACTATCTTGGTGAATTGGTAAGGTGACCCTGAGGAGGCATGCTCTTTCCTCAAACTCCAGGACTTGTCTGTTTTTAAATTGTACCAAGAACCAAGATGTACGCAGTTTGAAATATATTTTGTTGAAGTGCTGCTTCCAAAGAAAAACCCACTGCAACGCTTATTGCTCGTTTGCTGAAAATTCACTCCTGTTTCTATTTCCCTCCCAAATTTGTTGCAATGGAAAAAGCTAGGATGCATATGGCTGGGGGGGGGGGGGGGGGGGGGGG